AACGAATCTATAATTAAAGGATTTGGATCAAAAAGAATAGTCACGCGATCATTAAATTAGTTATTATCATTATTATTTAATTATTGTTATTTAAAAATTGTTACAAAATAGAATCCTAAATTACTACCATTAAAATAAAGCATATTTAAACTTCGTAAAGACTCTTCAGATAAATTCTATCATCTAAAATTTCGTTCTACATTACAAGAAGAAATCGGTAACCATATACAAATGCTATTTGTCTAATGCAACTTTTATATTAAACGTAGATCCACAATAAATTGTCCATTCATTTTTTTTAGATTCAGAAGAAGAAAGTGAGGTATCAAATGTTTGTTGAAATTGACATTGATATACAGATTTGACTTTCATATTCAATCAACAGAGTGGTCACAAAAGTCACAAATTAAAATTCCATTGTTAACATGAAATTCACCAGGATTTTCTTCTACTCTAGTATTGAATGTAATGTACTTCTTCTATTTATCATGTTATATCAAAACAAAACAAATAGCAATTAAAATTTAATTGACAGTCCATTGATCAATGATAGTGATAGAAATTTAATTTGTGAGCCTTTTAACAAAATATAATTTAAATAGCATTTCTTAAAAAAAAAAAAGGGCATTAAAAGAAAATCAAAAATTTGGAAACAAGGGAGGCGGAACAAAATTTTCTAAAAAAATAATTACCATTTTACAAGGATTTTTTCATGCAGGTAATATTGACAAAAGTGATTGATATAATGCCCAAAGTATGTATTCTGAATTATTGAAAATGGCTGAAGAAAATGAAATAAGTCAAGAATCAATTCCAAAAGTAGAGTTGGATTACTTGTTATTCTGCAGCATGCAAACTGAACATCAAAAAATGTTCTTAACAATAATAACAATGAATAATTCATAATAAGTTTTTTTTTGAATAAAATTCTTTATTCATCATTATTCATATTTTCATAAAAATAGTTGAGAATTACCATTAAAACTAGCAACATTGTGTTTACATTGTCGCAATTACATTATTATTTCTTTCATTATTTTATATATGTTTTTACATGGAGCCCTTAGTTGCCAAAGTGTAAACTATTTATTCTAGTACTGTAATATAAGAAAAGAGAAAATTTTATATTTTTGAATAAATCAAGTCCATATCCACAAAATTCTATCACTTTATGGATATATAGAAAGTCAGTACCGTATTGAGCTTTGAAAATTTTTTTTCAGACTTTCTATAGTCAGGACACCTAGTCCCTACAACTTTTATTAGTCTTGCAAATCCTTTAACTCCTCCGAAAATGGAAATGTGTGACCTAAAAAACAAGATGTCATTTTGAAGCTAAGACCTTTTTCTACAAAATGACATTTTCATTTTGTTGAGATGCCATGTTGTTGTGGAGGAATTAAGCCATAAAGTTGCACAAGTTTAACAAATTTACTATGTTAATCCCACAAAGTGACGTGTTACACACAAATTTTTTTTATATTAAAAAATGAACGAATTGGAAGAATTGAAAATTTTGAAATCTATGTTGCAGATCCTTTATCACGTGATATCAATAAAGAGAATGCAACGTGACAAATCTATTTTAAAACACGTGGCTGTAAAAATTTTATTGCATTTTTGATTGTGAATTTTTTCTCAAATCTGTCGCTGTGGCGCAGAAAGTTGTAGGGACTAGGTGTCCTGCATCATATTCAGAAATTCTCTAATACCAAACCAATCACTTTTCATAGTAAACCAAACACTTTTTTTTTATATACTGAATTCAGGATCGCAAGTAATTAGTTGAACAAAATCTGGTTTTGTAATCTGTTAAAGC